TCGGACTGATTTTGGAGTAAGTCCATTGTGCTCACGTCCTTCCACTCCCAAATATTACTTGGGCACTAGATTTAAAAAGCTGGTATTTGGCTGAAACCAGTTTGGCTCAGTGGATAGAGCGTCGGCCTGTGGACTGAAAGGTCCCAGGTTCGATTCCGGTCAAGGGCATGTACCTGGGTTGCGGGCACATCCCCAGTAGGAGATGTGCAGGAGGCAGCTGATCGATGTTTCTTTCTCATCGATGTTTCTAACTCTCTATCTCTCTCCCTTCATCTCTGTAAAAAAATCAATAAAATATATTTTTTTAAAAAGCTGGTATTTGGTTAAAAACAAATAAAATTTATCTCTTGGGGAATCCCAGCACAAAAACTTAAAACTACCAAACCCATGCTAATCTTTCAATCCTGATGCAAATATATAGAAACCTCAGGCACTCCCTTAGGCACTCTCATGATAAAGTGCATGATGCCTTTAAGGTCTTCTGTGATGACGACTATTATGATCACCCAACATATGGAGGACGTGAAGTCCCTGCCTTAGAAACAGGGCTTAGTACTTCCCTCAGAGTCTTGGGTTGAAGGACTAAATTTATGCTCTCACTTGAGGACACTGAATGCTTCTTCTTGTGTGGGACCCGAATATATGCTACCTTGCCAACCCAATAAATAGTGAGGCAGATGTATCATGCTAGTACTGATGCTGCCATGAGAAAGACTCTCCCTTCCTCTGTCATTACCCCTAAACTAGACTCCTTTGTCTGTAAAGTTCAACCAAACAAAGCAAATGCAATTAGGATTTTGGGTATGGTGTTTTCAGTCCTCTCTTAAACTGAAACTCCATAATAGATAAGCAAGGCTTTGGGCATGCCTTTGCTAGAGCATTTGTTCCTCAATATGGAGTAGCTGAATTAGAAGTCTATCAAAACTCTTACCATTCTCAATAAACTGATGAATGGAGTGGATCCAGAGACATGGAAGCATGGAACAGAGTGCGGAATCTCAGAGGGAAG